ATACACACAACCGTAAAAGAGGTAACTATGTACTGTAACTCTAATATTACATTCACAACCCTAATACCCCCCTCAAGTTGGAGCATGGGGATTCCGAATGCCTAACTTGGACAATAAAAACTCAAACTGTGTTTTGCCTAAAGCCTTGGTGAAGAGATCCGCAAGTTGCACATGAGTAGACACATAGCTGGGAAGAATTGTACCGGCAAGAATTTCATTGCGAATAAAGTGACAATCGACCTCAATATGTTTTGTGCGTTCATGAAAGACAGGATTAGCCGCAATATGCAAGGCAACCTGACTATCACAATATAAATGAATTGGCAGAGAATGAGAAACGCAAGACTCAGAAGAAGCGTCTTCAACCACTTCAACTCACAAACAGTCGATGCCATGGAGCGATACTCGGCCTCAGCAGTGGATCGAGCAACAGTCTGTTGTTTCTTAGTCTTCCAAGAAATAGGAGGAGCACCCAGAAGAATAAACCAACCAGTAAGAGACCGCCGAGTTATAGGACAGCTGGCCCAATCTGAATCACACCAGGCAGAGAGCCGTAAATCACAATCAGCACGAATGAAAATACCTTGGCCAGGAGTACCCTTCAAGTACGAACAACCCGAAGAGCAGCGTCCCAATGAGCTTGCATAGGCTTCTGTATAAACTGAGACAAAGTGTGAATAGAATAAGACAACTCAGGACGAGTTACGGCCAGATAAATCAAGCACCCAACCAGGTGGCGATAGCGAACAGGATCCGAGAAAACAACAGCAGCAGCGGAAGCAAGAGGAAACTCAGCTGGTTTAGCACCCAACAAACCCACCTCTGCAATAATATCTAGAGCATACTTGCGCTGACAAAGAAAAATACCCGAGGAATGTCGAGCCACCTCAAGACCAAGAAAATACTTGAGGATCCCTAGATCCTTCGTATGAAAATAACGATGTATGTATTCTTTGAAGGACTGAAGAGCAGCGGTGTCGTTGCTAGATAGAATAAGATCATCAACATATATTAAGACATTAAGCTGCACAGCAGCTCTCGTCAAAGTAAATAAAGAATAGTCAGAGGTGGATTGTTGAAAACCATACCGATGTAGAGCACTTGCCAACTTAGCAAACCAACAGCGTGGAGCCTGGAGAAAACCATAAAGGGAGCGTCGAAGACGACACACCATACCAGGATGAGAAGAGGAAAAACCCGGCGGTAATTTCATATAAACTTCCTCTTGGAGATCGCCATGTAAGAACGCATTGTGAACATCCATTTGATGAAGCTCCCAACCTCTAGCAGCAGCAACAACAAGAAAGGTGCGAACAGTCACTATTTTGGCGACGGGAGCAAAAGTCTCATTATAATCAAGACCTTCAATCTGATTACTACCAAGAATCACAAGACGCGCCTTATGGCGCTCAACCGAACCATCAGAGTGATATTTGATTTTGAACACCCATTTGCGCCCAATAGCACGTTTCCCAGATGGAAGGGATGTCAACGTCCAAGTGTCATTATTCTCAAGAGCATGAATCTCCTATTGCATTGCAGTCTGCCAACGAGCATCTCGCATAGCCTCTGCGAAATTGCATGGCTAACCTGCAGCTACACTAGCCAGAAAAACACGATGTTGCGCAGAAAAAGTGTCACAACTCACATACTTGTGTAATGGATAGGACATACCTGAGGAACCGACGAAGCAGAGGAGCTGAGAGAGGGGCTTTCGTCAAGAATAGTATGAGCCTCAAATTTCAAAGACGAGTGGAGCGGAACTTTTGATGGTGACCACGACCCAAAAGTTCTTTCGGCGGACCACTTGAATCTATACCCCCCTGGCATCGGAGATTCCAGAATCAGGACTAGCAATATCAGATGACTACGAGACAACATCCCCCGGAGAAGGAGCAGGACCAGATTCAGTAGGAGAACAAGCCGGTGGACCCAGTGGAACTGAGATGTCATCATCATCATCATAAAAGATGGCCGATGAAGGAAAGAACGAAGTAGGCTCAGGAATAGGAGACAGGGATGAGTAAGGAAATTCGGATTCGGAAAAAACAACATCCCGAGACACAAAGAACTTCCCAGTCTCTAAATCATAAACCCGCCAGCCTTTAGTGCCAAACGGATACCCAACAAAAACACACTTGCGACTAAGACTAGTGAACTTATCACCATTCCGATCCTGGTTATGCACATAGCATAAACAACCAAACACACGCAAATGAGAAAGTGAAGGTGGTTTGCCATATAACAATTCACAGGGAGTTTTGCCATTCAAAATACTCGAGGGAGTACAATTAATCAGGTATCCAGCAGCTAAAATGCATTCCCCCCAAAACTCAATAGGTAAATGGGCCTGGGAACGCAAAACCCGAGCAACATTAAGAATATGACGATGCTTGCGTTCCACAGGATCATTTTGTTGGGGAGTACTGACGCAAGAGGTTTCATGAAAATACCATTAGAACGAAAATAGGCAGACATGCACATAAATTCGGTACCATTGTCACTACGAACAGTCTTAACCAACTTGGTAAATTGACGGGCAATCATAGCATAAAAATTCTTTAAAGTCGAAGAAACCTCTGTCTTATCATGTAACAAATAAATCCAAGTAGCACGCGGGTAGTCATCAACAATGGTTAAAAAATAACGTGCCCCAGAAAAAGAAGGAGTCCGATAGGGACCCCATAGATCACAATGTATTAAATCGAAAATATCAGAAGACTTAGTAATACTAATAGGAAAAGTATCACGCATTTGTTTGGCTCGAAAACAAATGTCACAAGCTTTATTAAGATGACGACTATCATTCCTAGAACCAACATTGGAAAGCATTGCTAAAACCTTCGGAGACGGATGACCAAGCCGTTGATGCCACAAATCAAAGGAAGAAAGACCGTTGGACACCGCAGGAGAAGCAGTCGCGATATCCCGGAAAAAATAAATCCCCTCATATTGCTCACCCGCTCCAATCAGAGTCCTCAAACTTAGGTCCTGTACAATACACAAATCGCGAGTAAGGTGAGCAATATAAGAAGAATCGCGCAATAATTGAGAGACAGAAATAAGGTGACGCTGTAAACTGGGGACATAAAGAACATTGCGTAACGTCAGGTCGCTGCTAAGAATGACAGAACCAGCCTTAGTGGCATAAGTACATTGGCCATTTGATAAATCAACTGGAACTGCAACAATATCACGAATATCACAGAAATAAACAAGAGAGCCAGTCATATGGTGGTGCCGGAATCATACATCCGCCTGTGAGAAAAAGACTTACCGGACAGCTTCTCATTGGGCGCTAATTTGGCCGAATTCAACAAATTAATTAAAGTGGTCCATTGATCTTGGTTAAGACCAGAAATCGCACCGGGTTGAGAGCTCGAACCAAAACAGCAAGCGGTTGAACCATGGTGTGAGCAGCAGCACCAGAAACCGAACCGAGTGAACCAGGAGCCGGTCCAACTGAGCCAGATGTTGAACCGGGAAAAGTAGCAGGACAACGGCCCGAACCAAGTCCCCTGCCTCTGCCGGCGATCGGACGAGAAGAAGACCAGTTTTTCGGGTACCCAATAAGTTGAAAACACTCGGTGATCTCATGTCCGGTATTGTTGCAATGGGAGCAAAGAAGATTTCTTCGCGAACCTCGACCATTCGGCTTGGCGTTGGTGGAAGCAGCCAAAGCCGTGACTTCACTGCCGAAAATCGCAGGATTCCGGACGCCAGCATTGGTCTGAACAGAGAAGCTCATAGGTGAATTAGATGAAGCTTCACACTAGGCAGTCGAGCAAAGTCGTTCTTCCTGCACAACCAAAGCATAAGCCCATTCCAAATGCGGAAGAGGCAAGGTTGACAGAAGATTCGAATGAACTGCAGCAAAGAGGTCTGAATTGAGTCCCATTAGAAACTGATGAAGGTGCTCCGTCTCCCGGTGAAGCTCCAAAATAGAAGCCATCTTAACCTGACACGGCGCACACAATTCAGAGACCAACGGCGTGTCAGAATCGTCCACATCGTCCCACAATTTTTGAAGGCGTCCATAATACGACTCAACATAGGAGCCTTTCTGCTTACACTCAACAAGATCAGTCTTCAATTGCTGGATTCTAGAGCCAGTCACAACCGAAAATCTTTTTCGGAGATGGTCCCAAAGATTGGCAGCAACTTCTTTCTGAGGTATCGTCGACCGGAGAGAAGGATCAACGACGTTGAGAAGCCAAGAAGTAATCAACGACTGAATTGTCCACCAGTCATCCAAATTCTTCTGTTTCTTGGGCTTCGGAATCGATCGATCAACAAAGCCGAATTTCTTGCGAGCACGAAGAGCCATTCGCACAGCTTTGGACCACTCGGCGTAATTGGAAGCACCCTTTAAGTGAACATGGGTGATTATATTGCCGGAGTGATCATTAGAAGTTATGTCATACGGTGAAATTGTCCGATCGGCAGCAACATCTTCATCGGACGAAGGACGAAGAACTGGAGGCGTCGGACATGGTGGCGGCATGAAAAAAAAACGATGAAGAAAACCTGCTCTGATACCATGTGAAGACACTGTATAATTGAGGCAGCCGGCATTAATGTGAAGCCGTCAAACTGTATATACTTTAGGGTTTGTACATCATATATATAATACACACAACCGTAAAAGAGGTAACTATGTACCAGAACTCTAATATTACATTAACAACCCTAATAAGTTCACTTTTGATTTTTACTTTTAATTTAAACTGTACTAAAAAGTGAAATATTAAACTAGACAATAATTTTAAGTATATCAATATAATCGTTTTGGTCTTCCAAAATTGTTGAATTTCTCAACACTTTCACGAACTAATATGCTCATGTAGGTAATCAACTGTCAAATTTCATTAACAGAAAGAAAAGAAAGAAGAATGCGGTGAAGAACATAAGTATGTAGCAAAAGTTTTAACACATTTGATAAATTGGATGAATTTGTCTCTGCATTAAGACATGAACAATATTGTGCAACTACTCAACTACTCGAATTAAACTGTACGTCACAATTTGTGCAAGATTAGATTGGCACCGTGTTGAGGTTGTTGTGTGATTAGTGTTTGAGGCTCATGCTCGTAAGATGGGGAAAGATGGAAGGTGAAACGTTGCAAAATCATTGCCAAGGTCAACTTCGCTTCAATCATTGCAAAGTTTTGTCCAATGCAGATTCGAGGCCCCCACCCAAATGGAACGAATGCAACCAATTGGCTCATATCTTTTGTCGTTAATGTGCTTGATATCCCATCCCTAAATCTTTCTGGTTTGAATTCCTCGGCATCATCTCCCCATACCTCAAAGTCACGATGTAACATCCACACTTGTAAAGACAGAAGTACCCCGGCTGGAATCTTAAACTCTCCTAGTTTTCTTTCTTCGCGAGTTTCTCTCATAAGCACCGGTACTGATGGATACAGTCTTAAGACCTCAGCGAAGATCATTGTCACCTATCATTTCAAATATGTAAAAGTTTCAAAAAAAAAAAAAAAAGAAGAAAAAGAAAAAGGAAAGACACAAGTTCAAAAAATCCTGAAATATGTATATATCAAACATCAATATGCGCGTTTCGTCTTATTATTTTTATATTCAAAATGTGTGGCTTTTGTGTTCTTTAAAATAAACAAGTAAAAACAGCACAACGAAATGAGGTGCTAGCTGATGTAGAAAATAATTACTCCCTCCGCCCCAAAATGATTGTCCAGTTTGATTTTCATTTTTAGTTCAATTTGTACTAAAATTAAAAATCTAAACTGGACAATAATTTAAGACGGAGGAAGTACAAAACTATACTTTCTAAAACGACATTTATTAGGAATTTGATTTGGTAAGTTTATCTTTTCAATCATGCATTCACTGTGTTTTATCACTTTGCTCTATGTAACAGTACATATTTTTAAAATTTTTTGTTTTTTTGTTTGAGCTGATTATAAACTTACCACTTTGAGCTGATTAAGGCCATCGAAATCTATTTGTTTCCTCCCAAAAACTTGAAAAACCTCATCTCTTGCACGTGACTGCCAATCTTGATGCCTGCTAAGTAAAATTAAAGTCCAAACGAGCAATATGGAAGTTGTTTCTTGCCCAGCTAAATAAAAATGTTTACATTCTTCAATAACATCTTCAATGGTCAAACCATTCTTTTGTTTAATCTCTTTAGCATTAGACTCTAACAATATGCCCAGTAAATCATCCTTGTCAACGTAGTCCTCTCCTAATTTTCTTGCTTTTAATCTCTTGTCAATAATATCCCTAATTTTTATTCTGACCACCTTTTCTATCTCGTTGATTCTTCTATTTTTCTTGGTGGGTAGAAACCTACATCAACAAGAAAGTCTCAACATTTAAAAAAAAAAGAAGAAGAAAACCTAGAAAGATTTGAAGGGAAATTAGCAAAAATGAAAAAAGGGTAAGAAAAATTCAAACCTCAACCCTGGAAAACTCAGTGATCGAATAGTTGTTATAACATAGCTTGCTTGTTCTCTTTGAAGTTCAAATACGTTTCTTCCTTCCTCGTAATTTGTACCGAATGCTGTTCGAGAAATGGCATCACTGGTTAAAGTTAGGAGAGAAGGCCAAACATCTAAATCGCAAGATCCTTGAGGTGAAAGACTTTCTTCCCACGTGGCCAACATTTCTTCAGTGCTCAATCGAAAAGCTGGCAACATAAGCTAATCATGGCAAGATAATCAGAACGAAACTTAATTTAATTACCATGCATCAGTGTCGGTGTTTAGCATATGCAAATGATTAGTCCTCGAGAAATTTTATATCCAAAAGGCAAAAAAAAACGGCAAGAAGTTTTCATAAATGTTGGGTAAATTATAGGGCAAAACACAGACATATTCTTCGTTTGTACAACCTCCGTTACTTTTAACTATCGCTTTTGGTCTTACACAACTATTAAAAAATAAAGATTGTGATTTTAATTTTTCAGTATATTATATTTTTTATCCCTAATTACAAGTATCGAAATTTTACAAAATTAGAGTGTAAGTAGTTGTCATTAATATATATGTTACTAAAAATAGAAAAAGATAATAATAAAATTGGAAAAACTAAAGTGCGACATATTAAAAAAATTTGGATTTACGGTAAAGAGACATATAAAAATAAATGGAAGTAGTAGTAGTTCATTAAGTTACCTTGTTCACATTTCTATAAAAGTAATAAATGAATTGGAGTGCTCGGAACGATATAACTATTTTTTCACATTAAAGAACAAAAAAAAAAAAAACCTTAATTTTCTCCAGTTGGAAAGAAGGTTTGATCAACCTTCTGTGTTTGATCCACTTCTCTCCCTCAACTGCAATTAGGCCAACCAACAGTGATTTGAGTGGATCAATGAAATTAGCCTTATGGAAGTGATTAGGCTTAAGAAAGATCTCCTTCATTAGTTTAGGGTCCTTGATGATAATTACCGGCCTTGATCCAAACCAAATGAAACAATCCGTACCTGACATTGTTTAAACTTTTAATGAATTCAACCAAATCAAATAATCCAAAAAAAGAAAAGAAAATAAAAATGATGAAAGATTATGCGATCATGCATTATGCATATATACCATATTTCTTGGCTGTTTCAAATATGAAACGACTAACAATTCCTGGATGAATATCGTCGCCGTTGTCGGAAGAACGACCAATCCCCGACATGTTTGATTCAGCTTCTTTAATCATCTTGGTATATTCCCTCAAGTCACCGATGATCGGTCTGTAGGAATTTCCGGGAAGGCCTTGTGATCGGAGTTGCTTCTCGAGTTTTCTTGGCTGAAACCAGATGAAATCCAACGTTTTCCATGCACAAGTAACCAGAAAACCAAGGACACAGGAAAGTTGAAAGTAATAGTACATCGTTGTTGTTGGGAGAAATTAAGTTTTAAGCTTTTAAGTTCTCGAAATACGATGTAGCAAGACTATTTCTGATTTGTACGAGCGCCATTGAAGCGTAATGGCAAGATTGATTGCTTTTTCTTTTTTTTTCCTCCCTCATATTTTATTATCACAATCCATAAAAAAAAATAGTTCATATTGAGTTTTAGATTTATTTATATTATTTTTAGTACAAAATTCCAAACTCAATCTGAACTATTATTGCGGGTAATTGAGCTAAAGTATTTTATATATGTACATGCATGTACGTCTAGGCTATAAAGTCAAGCTGTGGTTTCCTTTTTTTTTTTTTTTTTTCCTTGCACGTTTAGTAGAGAGGTCTTAAGTGAAAATTATCCCTTGGTGCAAAAAATGGCCGTCGTTTCATCACCTAACGTTGGTAATGGAAGGTAAAAGTGGCCAATAAGCATTGTTGTTAGTACAGTAATTAAATTTCAAAAATTTGTGTTCTCAATTTTGCAATTTTAATTTGTGCAGGTTAAAAGGCAAAGTAGCATTGGGAGCAGCTAAAGGTATAAGCCCTTGGGTTTCGTCAACTATGGAGCCAAAGTAGTGTGTGTTGACTGACATCAGCTGAAACTCGGGTCAATCTGTCTGCGACAAATTAGGTCTCGAAAATGCAACTTTCATATGCAGCGATGCCATCCCGAAAATTTTTCAAGATGGATGAAGATGGACACTCAAAAAGTATATACAAAATCTCAAAGGGATGATTTTTAATTCATCATTGCATCATTATCCGATGCAATAAAAAATTGTAAATTCAATACTAGTGATTTCTTTTTAACAATCGATGAATTAAACATGTAAACAGCACGAGATTTGCGCAAATACAGTGAAATCTTGTTTTCAATGACAAAGCAAATCGACTTCGGCAAATGGGAAAATATAATGAAATTGCAGACTGGACAGATTCTTGCCATGGTTGGGTGGCAATTGTTTATAAATGTTCCAAAACCATCCTTTGGCTATGTCAAAGGGTTTTTGACTTATAAGAACGTATATGAACGTGCTGTGATTTGCCCTTTAGGTGATAAATAAATAACACGTACCACGGAAAAATGATTGATTGCAAGGATTGGAATCTTTCTTCTCATTTGTAGACCTTCTTCCTTTTTTTCTATCGGGAATATAAAGATATTCTAAGAAACATGCGTATGCCACGCTTTTGATTTTTTTTTTTTTTTTGTTTAATTTCTATGGAAAAAAAAGATATGGAGCCCCCAATTAATATTAAGCATTAGGCGGGACGATTGAGTCCACTGCATACCAGGGCGGGTGCAACCAATGCATCTTTAATTAAAACCTTTGGATGCGTTACTTCTTTTCCTCTTCACTTCCTCTTCTTTTCTATTTTTAAACGCATTTTTTTTCCTTGAAACTTCTGTCCGGCAAAGTTACGGTTTCAGAAATTCTGGTTTGGGAGATAAGGCCCAAAGAGTTCCAATACGGGATCTAATAAATAAGTAGGAGCTCAATTCAACTTAAAACTTCAAGGTGATAGATTTTAGGATTAACTTGCTTATTAATTGCTCTCTATTGTTCCTAGATACCGATCTGGGACAATCTACCTATTCATATCTCAACATCTCTTAGTGAAAATCATCTCTTGCTACAAAAATGAATGTTGTTTCATCAAAACCTAACATTTGGAAAAGGTAAATAACAAATATATATTCTTAGTAATCAATTTGAAATTTAATTTGTTCTCAATTTTGCAAGTTCAAGGATTTAAGACATTTTGTCCCAATTAAATTCAGTTTTCCTTAATTACTCAAAATTAATTATGTTTAGATCGTTCTTTTAATAAGTGTTTTTAGATTTTTTTTTATTGAAAATGCAAAAAGTTTTATTGAAAATATAAAAAGTCAAAAAGGTATGATTGGGCGTGATAATTATTAATATTTAATTCTGAAAAAAACGTACTAACAAACAAAACAAATAGAATACTCATCTTTCCTGATCATTAATTGCCCGCGGCAGAGGCAAAGAATTAATCTTTTCCAAAAATCAAGTAATTTCATTTTTCAGACAACTATTGACACAAATCACAATCTTCCACGATGCTACATTGATAATATACTCTACCTATCCTATCCATGCTTTCCACCACTGCTCTTTTAATAAAAGTTCATAAAATTACATCAACTTTCAGAATTGCATTGGCATAAACCCTTATGATTGAGTAAAATTAAAAATCGTGATGTTTAGAACATTAAACACATAAGATACCATTAATATTCATGTCACCGCTTAATTTTCGATAATTGTGTTCAGGATGACAATGCAATTACAAATGGGATTTACTTGTCGAATTAAGGCGTTCTCAGAGCAAGGGATTGAGTGATTGCCTCAAATTAGCTAGTTCTCATGTCATTGTGCGAGAAGTGTTTATAATAAAGCTTGAAAGGTATTTACAACTAACAGTACTAATCTATTGGATTCTTGACATATACAAGTTTTCCAAATTAATTAGACTTTTGGACCAAATGTACTTTTATTCTATTAGGTTCTTACAGGCAATAGACGTGAATGAATCAACATGAAATAAAAAAAATAAACAAGAAAAAAAAAATCAATTAGCTAGCTAGTAGTTGAGGGTAGGGGTGCTAAAAAAACCTGATTAATTGAACCGAAAAAAGATATAAAACCGATAGGTCTCAGTTAAACGGTTTTCTACCGGTTAATACGTTCGGTTTTTAGTTTTGTTTATAACTTTGTCGGTTAAAATGAATAACCGATTATTAGCAATTATAATTAACAAATTATATCTATATCTAATATTTCTATATCATTAATATTTTTTCTTTTTTCCAAATTAATTCACTAAAAATTTTTGTTCTAATAACATGTTTTTTTGTTGGATGGACTATTATAAAAAAGAAAGGGTTTAAAAAATATTTCATTATTTGATGGGTCTAAAAATATAATATGAACTATATAAATAAGAAAAAAAAAGTTAAAAAATTTGGGAAAACATCGATTATATTTTGTCTAGAAAAATGACAAATAGTTTCGGTTAAACTGGTAAAAATCGATAATTAAACCGAAATCCGATAAAAACCGAAACCGCAAAACTGATTACTTAATCGGTTATTTTTCCAAAATTGATAAAACCGGAATTGACTAAAATCGATTAACCGATAAACCGGTAAACCAGCCGGTTGAACGCCCCTAGTTGAGGGTACGTTTTCACACATAAAACTAGATCAAAGAAACGGGGAAAAAAAAGATGATGTACGTACGTTCAATAATCCAATGATTTGGACAGCTAGTGCCTTATCCTCAGATCCAGGTGTCTTAAGTTCAATGTCGCTGGAGGTGATGTGAACTTCAGAAGTAGATACTCTCTCTACCTCAAAAAAAAAAAAAAAAAAATCTGGAGTGAACTTCGGTAGTAAATATGTGCGTCTAAGACTCTAAGCTATAAAGTTAAGCTGTTGGTTATGCATTTCTTGAGCGTTTAGCATAAAGGTCTTCAGTGAAAATCATCTCTTGCTACAAAAATGGATGTCGTTTCATCGAAACCTAACATTTGTAAAAGGTAAAAATCATCACAAACATATATTCTTTGGAATGAATTTCAAATTTATTCGCTCTCAATTTTACATGTTTCATTTGTTGCAGGTTGGAAGGCAAAGTAGCACTAATAACTGGAGCAGCTGAAGGTATAGGCGCTTGCATAGCAAGGGTTTTCGTATACCACGGAGCCAAAGTAGTCTGTGTTGACATCAACAAAAAATCCGGTCAATCAGTCTGCGACGAATTAGGTCCTGAAAATGCAACTTTCATCTACGGTGATGTGACCGATGAATCGGACATGGAAAAGGCGATAAACACGACGATTGAGAAACATGGAAAGCTAGATATCATGATCAACAACGCTGCGGTTTCCGATGAACCAATACCGAGCATCACGGACACCCGTCTTTCCGATTTTGAGCGCGTCGCGCGCGTGAACATAGCGGGGGTTTACTTAGGCATCAAGCACGCTGCCCGGGTCATGATTCCAACTCAAACCGGATGCATCATCAACCTAGGTAGTATTTCCGGTCGGATTGGCGGGATTACTTCTCACGCGTACAGCAGTTCCAAGCATGCTGTGGTGGGTTTGACCCGGAACGCCGCCGCGGAGCTCGGGAAACATGGGATCAGAGTCAATTCGTTGTCTTCTCACGTTGTTCTCACCGAACCCTCCCGGAAATTTTTCAAGATGGATGAAAATGGACACTCAAAAGTGTATACGAATCTCAATGGGATGATCCTCGAGCCGGAAGATTTAGCCAATGCGGCGGTTTTCTTGGCTAGTGATGAGAGCCGGTTCATGAGTGGGCATGACCTTATGCTTGATGGAGGATTTACCGTTACTAATCCAGCATTTGGGTTGTTTTCCCGACTTTGATGATCGTTCATATAATTTGCTTAGTTTTCAGGGTAGGAATATTGTAACATCGATATTTTCTTGACCCCAAAACTATATTGTCCTAATTGAATTTTTAATTTTAATACAATTTGAAATAAAATTAAATCTGAAATATATCATATAATTTCAGGACGAAGAAAATATATCTGTTTGAATCACATCACCAAGACGATGCTAATTAATATAGTAGCTACTTTTTTTTTTTTTGGGAAATTATTTAACTCAAGCATCCCATGATCAAGAGTGCTCAATGGATAATTAACATTGTAATGAATGAATTTACTGGTTCTCTCATAATAATTAAGAGAGTTTTACTTAAACCAATTATGTACCACTTTTTACTTTTTGTAAAATACAAAATACATCATAATTTCTTCATCTGGTTCTAGCATCGTAAACCACAAATACTCAGTTTCCCAAAACAAAAAAAGTTCTTAAGGAAAAACCATTTCGAAACAAGATAATAAATTTTATCATAGAAGGGGAGGATATATATTGGATAAATTTTGGTGGCCAAGGTGGTGGGTAATCAATTGCGCTTAGGAAAATAACATATTCCTATAAGTCCTACCGTGTTAAATAGTACGTAGCGTAAATCATAATCTCAAAATGATTGTTTGATTTGAATTTTTTTTTTAACAAATTGTATCAAAAATAAAAAATTCAACATAATAATCATTTTAGAACCTATAATGTACTTCTTCTATCCAAGAAAATAGTATATTATGCAAATCACATATTTCTTTTGTCCAAAAATTATTGTCCATCGAAACTAGACAATAATTTTGAGACAGAAAGAGCATCATTTATTTTGGACACTCATTTATACTAACAGTACATATATATATATATATATATATATTGATCAACAGTACATATTATAAATTACTCTGGTTGACGATTTTCTTGATATTGAGGGAGGGAGTATAACTTAATTTTTTATGTATATGTGTTATTCTAACAACCGTTTAAGCTTTTCAGATTGTTTTCGGGACGTACTTAAGTATGAATATCGATGTAAATCTAGTTATTGATGGGATCAGTTTCATTAATGCATCATTATCAGATACAATAAAAAATTGTACACCCAATACTAGCGCTTTCATTGTAACAACCGATGAATTAAATATATAAACAACACGAGGTTAGCGCAGAAGCATTTACAGTGAAATGTTGTTTTCGATGACCTAGCAAATGAAGCTCACCACTTGGGAAAATATAATGCAATTGCAGACTGGACAAGTTCTTGCCAATTGCGTGGCAATTGTTTATAAATTATCCAAAACCATCCTTTGGCAATCTTGAAAGGATTTTTGACTTATAACAACGTATATGAAGGTGTGGTGATTTTCCCTTTAGGTGATAAATAAATAACAAGTCCCAATTAAGGGAAAATGAGTGATTGCAAGAATTGCAATGTTTGTTGTCATTTGTAAGCCTTCTTCCTTTTTAATTTTTTTTTTCTTTTCTTACACGGGAATATAAAGATATTCTAATGAAACATGTATGTACCACGCTTTTGATTTTTGGTTCATTTGTATGGAAAATAAAGATCTTGATGATCCGACAGGAATATGACATTTAATTTGACTATAATTGCAAATATGTATGGTATACAATCGCACTCTAATTTTTTTGACTTATTAATTTTCTGGAGATTGGGCAATAATTTTTTTTTTTTTAGCTCTCTTGCGGCAAAGAACAAAAGAAGTAAGTATTGCTGCTAGTTAGATCTTTTTACCATTGCCAGTGATGAATTCGATAATATAAGAAAAAATTTGCCTGTAAAATACTTCCTCCGATCCTTAATATAAGATATTTTAATTTGTCCTAAGTTTCACCTAGTAAGCATTTTTAATTGATGAAAAAATATTAAAAATATATTTTCACATTCGTTGCATTCTCTTAATTGTGGTAAAATATTTTTAAGATTTTTTTGTCAATTAAAAATGCGTACTAGGTTAAACCTAGAAAAAATCAAAATGTCTTATTTTAAGCACTGGAGGGCGTACTAATAATCCTTGTAAATCGGGAAAAATTCGCGTTTCTGTCCTAATGTTTGGAGAATTCATAAAATTTCATCGATCTTAAGGCGAGACAGTGAAATTTCATAAGCGACCGAGTAGTAATCAAATTAGTCCAATCACCAATTTCATCACATTTTTTAACAACAAAAAATGACTCACCGTTAGCTTGTTGCACGGTTGGTAGGCCTTCCAACGTGGAAATTTGTCTTTTCCCATTGAAATAGTGAGCATGCTGTTAGAATTGTTTATGCCAGAAAAAAAAAAATCATTCATAAACTAAATATCTATTCAAGAAAATCCTTTAATCCACCATTTCTGATCGATTTGGAATTAATGTTTTATAGGTAGTTGTTACAGCATCGCATCAGTCATCGGCATGACATGCAAGTGGGCAACAATATAAAGTGCTATAGCTAGCTAGAATAATTACATCAAAACTCTAGATGTGGACATTTTTTTTTTTAAAAAAAACTATGTCAATATTATCGTTTTGGTCTTCGAAAATTGTTGAATTTCTCAACGCTTTCACGAATTGAACTATATATGTCCATGAAGCTACTCAACAATCATTAGCAAAAAGAAAAAAAAGAAGAAGAAGAAGAAGAAAAAAAAAACATAAGTAACAAAAGTTTTAACACATTTGATAGACGGGTCGAAATTGTGTCTTCATTAAGACATGATCACATTTGTGCAACTACTCAAGTACTCGAATTAACTAAATCGTAGTACGTTACAATTTGTTCAAAATTAGATGGGCACCGTGTTGAGGTTGTTGTGTGATTAGGTGCGAGGCTCATGTTTGTAAGATGGGGAAAGATGGAAGTTGAAACGTTGCAAAATCGTGGCCAATGTCAATTTTGCTTCAATCATAGCAAAGTTTTGTCCAATGCAGATTCGAGGCCCCCACCCAAATGGAACAAATGCAACTAATTGGCTCATATCTTTTGTCGTTAATGCACTTGAGATTCCATCCCTTAATCTTTCCGGTTTGAATTCCTCGGCATCATCTCCCCATACCTCAAAGTCACGATGTAACATCCACACTTGTAAAGACAGAAGTACCCCGGCTGGAGTCTTAAACTCTCCTAGTTTTCTTTCTTCGCGAGTTTCTCTCATAAGCACAAGCACTGTTACTGGTGAATACAGTCTTAGGACGTCAGCGAGGATCATTGTCACCTATCATTTAAAATATGTAAAAAATAAAATATAAAAAAAGAAAGACTAAGTTCAAATAATGCCAAATTATGTATATTCCCGACATCAGACATCAATATGTGTGTTTTATTTTATTATTTTATTTTCAAAATGTATGGCTTTTGTATTCTATAAATCAAAACCAAGTAACAATAGCACAACCACAACGAATGAGGTACTCATTCATGTTGTATATGCAAAATTTTTTTTTTTTACAAAACTATACTTTCTAAAATGACAATTATCAGGAATTTGAATATTTGATTTGGTAAGTTTGTCTTTTGAATCACGCATTCACTATCTCATTCACTGTGTTAATTTTGTCACTTTGCTATTAGTTTTTTTTATATATAATTTTTTTTGGAGCTGATTTATTATTAACTTAGCACTTTGAGCTGATTAAGGCCATCAAAATCAATGTGTTTCCTCCCAAAATCTTGGAAAACCTCATCTCTTGCACGCGACTGCTAATCTTGATGCCTGCTAAGTAGAATTAAAGTCCACACGAGTAATATGGAAGTTGTTTCTTGCCCAGCTAAATAGAAATGTTTGCATTCTTCAATAACATCTTCAATGTTCAAACCATTCTCTTGTTTAATCACCCTAGCATTAGACTCCAACAAGATTCCCAGTAAATTATTGTGGCGGAAAGGATATAAATACAACACACCACGGAAGCGAACTTCAGGAAATCTCCTTTCCTACTACCAATAAAATAAGACAACCAACCAAAAAAGCAAATAATTCAAGAACTGATAAGTAAAGTAGACACACGAATTTACGTGGAAAACCCAAATTGAGAAAAACCACGGGACTGTAACAACAGTCAAATCTCCACTATCACAATAATGGGAAAACAGTCTTCACCAACTGGTAGATACACAGGACTTCACCCAAAGGTGGATTACAACAATACTCTTCCAAAATACACCTAAACTACAAAGTAGGATTGGAAGGATCTAATCAAAAGAGAGCTAAACAGAAAACTAAACCCTAGCTTTCTTTCTTTTACTCTCGCACACAAAGCTTTGCGCGGCTGCCCAATTTTTCACCTTCTCTCTCGGTTGAAAGCACATGCACAAAAGCCTAGTGCTGCCTTGCTTTTATAAGCAAAAAAACACACGTCCAAACCCAAACCCAAGTTGTAATGGGTTTTTGGACGTTCTCGGTCAAATCAAAAAACCAAAGCTAAATTGGCTTAGTTTTTATTTCCTTTTTGCTGGCCTAATTTGAGGGGAACTCGGGCCCAACATAAATCGTCCTTGTTAACACAGTCCTTGCCTACTTTTCTTGCTTTTAATCTCTTGTCAATAATATCCCTGATTTTCATTCTGACTACCTTTTCTATCTCATTAATTCTTCTGTTTCTCTTAGTAGGTAGAAACCTAAATCAACAATAAAGTCTCAACATTTTAGAAAAAATAAAGAAAAAAAAAAGAAGATTTGGTAGGAAATTGGCAAAAAAGAACAAAAAGAAAAGGAAATAAAGGGAAGAATAACTCAAACCTCAACCCTGGAAAACTCAGTGATCGAATGGGGTAAAACCAAATGGGGAACTCGGGCCCTCGGGCCTAATTTGAGTCTAACTTGGGCCCAACAATCTCCTCTTCACCTCAAATGGGGTAAAACCAAACCCGTTTCCTGTCTGCAAAACAGGAGCTTGTCTCTACTCACAGCCTTCGTCAACATATCGGCACCGTTGTCATCTGTATGAATCTTCTCAAGAAATAACGCCTTGGACTCTAGTACATCCCGAATCCAATGATACCTAACATCAATATGTTTCGACCACGAATGGAATGTGGAATTTTTCGCCAAGTGAATAGCGCTCTGACTATCACAATACACCACATACTTCTCTTGCTTCATGCCAAGCTCTTGTAGAAACTTCTGCAACCAAAGTGCTTCCTTACAAGATTCAGTAGCTGCAATAAACTCTACCTCTGTA